AGGTTATCAGAGGTATCTGAGGAAGTCCCATTTTTTCCCACCCCAGAAGGCTCTGCAGATGCCTGATACATGGTATTTATCTAGAAAGGCACCCAATCAAGAGGATTTGGGAGCTGTGTTTTACGACTGAAGTAAGAAATCTGAGTAAGAAATCAAGTTCTAGAAATGATGTCTCCTCTGAATAACTAGACAGTTTGGGGAAGTATTCTGATAATGGATCATCATGTCTTGAGCATTAGGCAACACACGTCTAGGATATAAATTCAAGAAACAATATTCAGAAAGTATGATATACATGCAGGAAGTGATGTTTACCGCCAGCCCACAGGCTTGGGTCAGGGGTTCTTTGGTGGCTAATCTGAAAACTGCTTGGAGGGGTGGGGTTTCATTCATGCACTGCCCAGGTTTAAGAAGTTTTCTCAAGCTGAGTGCTGGTGGCTTAGGCCTGTCATCCTAGCTACTCAGGAAGCTGAGCTCTGAGGATTGCAGTTCAAAGCCAGCCTGGGCAGACAAATCTCCATCTAACCAGCAAAAGGATGGAAGTGAAGCTGTGGCTCATCAACTGGAGCACTGGCCTTGAGTGAAAAAGCCAAGGGAGAGCTCAGAGACCTGAGTTCAAGCCCCAGTATTGTCGTGTGTGTGTGTGTGTGTGTGGTGTGTGTGCGTGTGCATGTGCGCACTCACACACACATTTTCTCCTGGGATACTATCTTAGGTTTGTTATACTCAAAGAGACACACTATCTCCTCCAACTATTCCTCCAGGTAATGCTGGGATGTTATATACATAGAAGCATCCTAATATTTACCTGCGAAAGCTCAGAACGCCTTCCTCAAAGATACCCAGAGAATAAAGGCCATGACCTTAGAGCTAAGGCTAGATGCGTAGGCTTAGAGTAAAAGAAATCTCTTTCCTAGGTTGCCCCAATTGGAACACCCTATGTGTGTGTCTGTGTAACATGTGTGGTACCCAGGAGGTTTAAGAGTCATGTGAGTAAGAGCGGGAACTTTGTCAGACCAGCCCAGTGGAGTTCCCTGGGACAGCTGTGGGCTGCTGCCCTCATTCCATGACGGCATGCCGAGTCCCGGCTGTGCCCCCCATGCAGGATGCACGCACCACCACCCAGGCGAAGTGCGATGACCTGATGGGCGGCTTTACCCAAATAAGAGGTATGAGAATGTAAGACTGGTCATGGTGGCTCCTCTATCAGAATCCAGTGGCCAAGACCAACCCAGAAAGCCTCTTCCTTGTGTCTCATCCATGGAGATCTCCTGACCAGTGATGTAATCCATCAATAGTGGAACCGCTTTCTGTGCACAAACCAGCTCTCTGAATGGGAGGGTAGCATGTGCTTGTGTGCGGGGGTGGGGGTGGGGTGGGAGGAAGGATGTCTGGGAACTTCAGGTGTCCCTCAGTACTGAGGCAAACGGTTTGTAAAGGAAGAGAACCAGACCTGCCCATATGCTCAGCCTGGCCCCAAGAGGGTACTGAGAGAGAAAAGAGCATGCGCTGTTTATGAAAAGTCAATCATCAGCAGCAGCCTCCTCAAGAGTAGCCACAGTCCACTAAACTAAACGCACTGTGTGATGGACCTCATTAAAGTGGAGCCTCACATGGCTCCTCCTCCTCCTTCTCTGTCAGCCAGGTGGAGGTGGGTTCATTCTGCACTCTCCTCTTGAGGACAGTATGGCACTATCCATCTAATATCTTTCTATCCATTCAATCATCTATCTATATCCATCCATCCACCCATCCATCCACCCATCCATCCATCTAATCATCTATCTATCTATATCCACCCATCCATCCATTCAATCATCTATATCTATCCATCCATCCACCCATCCATCCACCCATCCATCCATCCAATCATCTATCTATATCCACCCATCCATCCAATCAGCTATATCTATCCACCCATCCATCCATCCAATTATCTATCTACATCCATCCATCCATCCATCCATCCATCCACCCACCCACCCACCCACCCATCCATCCATCCACTCACCCATCTACCCATCCATCCAATCATCTATCTATATCCACCCATCCATCTATCCAATCATCTATATCTATCCATCCATCTACCATCCATCCATCCAATCATCTATCTATATCCACCCATCCATCCATTCAGTCATCTATATCTATCTATCCATCCACCCATCCATGCATCCATCCAATCATCTATCTATCTACATCCATCCATCCATCCATCCATCCACCCATCCACCCACCCACCCACCCATCCATCCATCCATCCATCCATCCATCCATCCAATCATCTATATCCACCCATCCATCCATTCAATCATCTATCTATATCCATCCACCCATCTACCCATCCACCGGTCCATCCGTCCATCCATCCACCCACCCATCCATCCATCCATCCATCCATCCATCTATGTATCTATGTATCGATGTATCTATGTATCTGCAGGCAAACTAACCAGGCTTTTCCTTTGTGTTTTTCTAAGTCTACAAAATGCGCACAGACACCACTTTCTGGCTCATTCCCAAGTCTCTGTCATTCACAATGGCAGTCTTTCCAGAGTCCTCAGTTGGGATTTCCATGTCATGTCAGCGCATCAGGCAGTCAGCGGTTTGGTGCAATGCTTAGGAAAGTGGCTTCCTTTTAACCAGAACTTGGCTCTTATAGTCTTACAGCAGTCATAGAAATGTCTTTCTGCTCCTCTACTAGCTTCCTGCTGAGAATTCTAGTGTGGTTTTAGGATTCCAGCCATACATAATACTAACCAGCAAAGAGGCCTGATTCTAACAGAATGCTTGTGAAGATCAGTGGAATGTGACATTTGCAAACAACCCCAAGTAGAGTCTCTCTCTCTTTCCCCCCTCTCTCCCTCTCTCTCCCTCTCTCTCCCTCTCCCTCCTTCTCCCTCTCCCTCTCCCTCTCCCTCCAACACCATTTGGAAATGTCTGTGTCTCTCCAGGCAAACATGGCATTAATTAGTTATGCATGGTTATTCCCAGTAAAGAGCGCATTCATTATAAGTTAGTAAATTTCAATTTTATAGCAGGTGTGTTAGGGTGAGAGAGATTTTTATACATTGTTCATGTGAGGATAAGTCGTATAATTTTATGTTATTATTTTCTTTTCTGTTCCATACAGTAGTGAGTACTGACTGGGGCTGTACATATACCAAAAAGCTACAATTATCCTGTTCTGAGATAAGATAACGATTTTCAGACAACATAATGTAGTATAAAAATGTGCAATTTTGCATTTATGGTGTATGATTCTTGCTTTAGCAATTACATGAGCCTAGAAGGCAATGTAGTTTTTGTTTTTAAGAAACATCCTGGACTTCTAAAAACAGGCTTGATATTGAGAAGATGAGATAAAGACCATACAATCAAGGGTTTCTTTTGTAACCTCACCAGATATATAAGGCTAAGAGTATGCAAGTGTATTGGAGAATGTCGGACCAATCCATTTTTTTTCCTACTTTCTGTTACTTTCTCTACTATGAGCTTCTTGAGCTGAACCAACTCTAGTGATTTACCCCAAACTCTTGATGGACACCGTCTTATTCCATTGCCTCTATTTTCCTTCCACGATGCTCTAACTTCATTTCTTGCTACGCTCCATCTGGATTGGCATATCTTTATTTTTCCAGGCACTTCAGTTGTTTTATTTTGGAAGGGGTGAGATTATACATGAATAATGGAAACAGAAGTATTTCCCTCCACCCTCTGTATAATAGAGGGTGTAGGCCAAGTCAGCTTTGTTTTCTAAAAGATTTATAAGCAGCATATAAAAGCTTTTAAGAAAGTGCATCTACCCCTCTCCACACAGCTCTGAGCACAGCCACGTTCTGGCTACAGAGCAGAAGGGCATGTGAAAGCGCCCGCTAGAATGGCCTGGGTCTGGCTGGATTTACCCAGACACCAGAATTTTCCACACAACTGGGGGGGTGGACTGCAGGGCGCTCTGCAGCTTCCCCGGCCCTACCCCCATTTGTGCCAGCGCTTCCCCCGCCCCACTGAGGCCACCGATAATTCCTGTGGACATCGCAACTGTCCCCATATCATCAACTACCCTCATGTCATCCTCCGCTGCCTCCCCGGCCCCAGAAGACCCCCAACCGAAGGGGGAAGACAGAGCGTACTATTTCAGGATTGCCCTCCACGATCTGTCTCTCCTGTTCTCTGACATTCTGCACTGTTCACTGCTCTCCATGCACCAGTAGCAAGGCCCATACAGAAGACCCCGCAGGCCGCAAGGAGCACTGTGACTGATGTGCATTTCCTCCGTAGGGAAAGAAGGGAGACACCCATGTGCCATTTTGGTTTTGTTTTTTGGAAAAGGCAACCAAAGAGCCAATTCATTCCCATGTCACCGGTCTCTTGATTGGTTTGCCTTTGACACCGCCGCTTGAACTCTCTCTCGGGCAGAGGTTTTAGAAGCTTGGCAGTACACGATGTCTTTGGGGGAAGGGAGAAAGTACACCCTCGTGATTTTCACCTACGGGAAACCTGACACACCTCTGAATTCAAGGTGCTCACACATGTACACACGTGTGTGTGTGTGTGTGTGTGTGTGTGTGTGAATGCGGTCCAACCTCCTTAATAACCAGATGTTTGCGATCACCAGGAACACATCTCTGGCTGTAACCATTCCTCTTGTTCTCCGGCATTCAGTCTCAAAGAGAATTTACATAACCACATGTGACACGCCAGAACGCTTAAAGGCACCAACCATGGCAGGACAAATTACATTCATTTTTCAATCCTCTGCAAGGTGCTTAAACCGCTGCAGGCGCAACACGGGAAGGAAGGGGGCGGCATGCTGGGGCGGGGTGGGCCTGGGGAGGGCCGTCCACAAGAAAGGGAAAAAGAAAAACCATCTAAACAAAACCCCAAACCCAAAACCACCATGCGCTTCCACTAGCAAACACTGCGTGCTTCCTGGGGGGGGGTGCAAGGGGAGAGGGCACCCGTCCCCACTGTGTGTGTGGGGGGAGGCTACTTACCCGCCGTAGGCCGGGATCGGGGGTGGGGGCGCCGCGGCCCGGAAGGTGTTGTACACGGCGCGGCCGCGGCCTCGCAGGTGCGCCCCGCGGTAGGCTGCAGCAGCGGTGGCAGCCGGGTACGGGAAGCCGGGCACTGCGGAGCAAGAAGAGGAGAGAACAACAGCGAAGGACCATGAGACCCCCACAGGCTTCCCGTGCGTGCTCGAGCGTGTGGCCCAGAGCCTAAGCCACCCTCAGACACACACACCCCAGGCCTGGGCCCCCACCCCATCCCCAATGGGTTCTGATGAAGATGAGTAAGAAGGTGATCCCTCCGCCTTGGAGGTGATGGGGGAAGATGGCAGACATCCACCGAGACCTCCTCAGAAGAGGAGAAAGCAAAATCACTGCACCACCTTAATGTCGTCATCATCGGTCGTCGTGGTTTTTTAAATGCAAGGTAGGTCAGACAATCCACCCCGGCGCATCTCAGTGCTCTAAGAGCAAAGACACTTCCTGTTCCTTCACACAGACGCGTATTTCTGTGTATGCGCCTGAACACACACTCCACAGGTGTCACGTGTCCATAGCACAACTGTGAACGCATGCCCGTGACCCCCGCCGTACGCACGCTCACACAGCTACCAACTGGTCCTTTGGCACGTATACACATTTAGTAGAGACATGTCCACACAACTATTCCCTCATGCTAGCAGTTGCCTGAGAAAAGGCTCAGAAAGACCATGGGAGAGGAAAGGAATCTTTAACATGGGTACCCCAAGTCACCAACCCACCCTCTACTCCCTCTCCCAGCCTCCCACGGAGTACCTAGCCTCCCATAGGGTGGTCGGGGTCCAGGCTGTGCTACAGTGGCCTCCATCCCGCATCTGGAGTGTCAAGAGAGGTCTTGACCCCCTTCCTACTACACCTTCAGAAGCAAGATGGCACCCCAAGGTCATGACCTGGAACCCAGGGATGCTGTCTTAGGATGATGCGGCCGAGGATGGAGAGCATGCCCACAGCTCACGGTGTGTGATCTGATGGGGAAGAGACAGAAGGGCGTGCTCCTGCAGCGTCTGCTCCCCCTCCACACCGCTAGATGTGCTGGAATGGGGCCTTTGACCTTGAAGACCTATGGCCTGTGATCCTAGGGATGTAACACGTATGCTCTACAGTTGTCATAGCATCTACCCCTCCCACAATTGTGCTCAAATGCTATTGGATCTCAGACGCAAGCCTGACCGCCTCCATCCCTCTGCCTGTAACCCAGCAGTCCACGCAGGTTATTTTGAACTAAAAAGCAAAAACAACTATTGTCGCTGTTAATGACAAACCAGGCCAGTTCTGTTTAACTCACCAGCCCCAGCACCTGAGTTATCTGGATGGCTTTTTGAAATTGTTTGAAATTGTAGCGAGGTGGTTTGCCTCTGTGGAGGAAAACAGCAACTCCCTGACAATGACCAAAGCCCAGGGGCACTGGGATTACAGGCACTTGCTTCAAGACCAAGACACAAAGAGATGGGGATGGCCTTAACGCCGGGCCTGCCTTGCCACAACTCAAACATTAAGTTTGCCCAAGAACTCCCCAGATTTTGGAAGACAGAGCATGAGAAACACACAATCTGGCCGAGCAGCTGGCTGCCTGCGTGAAGGAGCCCGGTAATTATGCTGACCCATTCATTATCGCCAGCTCCGGTGCCATGGGGGCGAGACAAGATCCCTCTCAGCGACAAGCAGCTTTTACAATCCATCTTGGAGGATTTAGACATTGAGATGGAGCAAGAAACAGCAGCTCCGTGACAGAGTGCAGGAGCAGGGGGCGGGCGGGGAGCGGGGAGGCGGGGTCAGCATGGAGAGCCAAGCGTCCATTTTGTGCCCTCCTGGCTGCGGGTCCACACCCGGCAGTATGGGATTATTTAGACGTGCTCAGACAAGCCTTTGGAGGGGCCCCATGCAAGCAGGGTGCATGAAAAGAATTCTTATTCCGTTCAGGGAATACAACTTGACAGAGAAACTCCTGGCACTAAAGTTGCCTTGGGGGAGGCCAAATACCCTTGAGCAAGACAGAGCTTCTGCAGATCCTGCCTTAGGCCAGAGGTTCGTGGACACAGCGGGGCAGGGGCACAGTAGTCTAGATGGAGACTCTGGAGGGTTTTGTTCTGTAGTCATTGTAGAACTGGCCCAGGGGTCAGCTTTGTGAAGTCTCTCGTTACTCACCACAACCAGTGAGTATTCTTTCCCTCCCTCCCTCCTTTCTTCTTCTGTTCTTCTCTCCTTTCCTCTTCTGTCATCTCCCTCCCTCCCTCCCTCCTTCCTTCTTTCTCTCCTGCCCTCCTCCTTTCCCTCCCTTCCCCTCCCTTCTTCCTTCTTTCCTCCCTCTCTCCCTTCTTCCTTTTCCATTCCTCCTTTGTTCCCTTCCTTCCTCCCTTTCTTCATTTTCATCCTTTTTTAAAAAACAAAAACAAGGTTTCTCTGCAAAAGGCTTTCCTGGTATGGCAGGCCTGACAGGGAAGGGCTCTTCCCTGGTCCGAATGGAAGGCCATGCAGGCGGGGTTCTCTATCTGCAATGCAATTCGATTCAGAGATGTGCCTGGCCCTAACCTTGTGTCGCATACCCGACCCCTGCTCACTGCGTCGCTGCTAACCAGCGCCCGTCTCCTTCCTGCCGGTGGGGGGGGGAGAGAACAGCCCCACCCTCCCTAACTCCAGCGGTGGGTACAGAGCAGCTGATGTGGCTGTGCAGATAAACTGCACACGAGAGGTGCGGCTGATCTGTCAGGATGGCTGGACAGACCAGTTCTGCCTCCATCCTCGGAGGTGCTAGAGCGGCCCAGAAAAACACCACGAGGCACAGACTCCATGCCAGGCCAACGGAAGGCAGGCCGGCACGGACACAACGAGACTGGGCCCGCCAATGGTCAGCACCCTGGACTCCTGTAATTCACACTCACTGCCAGGGCCTGGAGGAGCTTCCTGACAGTTCCCTCAGAAAGCTGTTCAATGACACCGTTCCCTGCACACAGCCACAGACAGGGTCCGCCCCTGCTCAGCACTCCCGTCACGTGCCACAAGAAGCACGCAAGCAACCGTTTATGATCCCCATCTCATCCATGCTTGCCTCCTTCTGCGTTAGAGGAATTTCTCCCCAATGGCTGGTTTAAGGACAGCGCGCTTCCAAGACAAATGGTCACTTTCAAGGGCGGAAAAAGCACCACAGCTGTGTGACAAACCCCCGTTAGACTCCACAGGGCAGGGCAGGAGGGCCATCTTTCTTCCTGACTCTCTGCAAAGGCTGGACCATGATGAAATGTTCATTTGAGGCAATTTCACCTGTGCAGATGATGATGATGATGATGCGGATACAGATCAAACGAGGCCCCAAATCAATGGTTCTATCCTTCAACCACATAGAAAACATCTTTCTTTGGTCGTATTTTTATTAGTGCAGATAAATTATGGAAAGTAATGGGATTCCAGCCAGACACTGGTAGCTCATGCCTGGAATCCTAGCTACTCAGGAGGCTAAGATCTGAAGACTGTGGTTCAAAGCCAGCCCAGGAAGACAAGTCTACGAGACTCTTATCTCCAATTAACCACTAAAAAGCCAAAAGTGGAGGTGTGGCTCAAGTGGTAGAGTTGCTAGCCTTGAGGGACAAAAAGCTCAGGGACAGCACCCAGGCCCTTAGTACAGATGCCAGGATTTGTACAAAAATAAAAAGCAATCCACAGCCAACAAAAATGAGTGGAGATTGTCAGGACATTTTCATACATGTATGTGTGGTCAGACGTGGGTGATACTTACCTCACGCCCCAGGACCTGTGTTACCGGCCCCCACCCCCCCTTCTTCTTTCCTGAAAGAAAACATCTTAATAACCTGCCACTCGGTGGCATGCTAGATGTCATGGGTGCCATATAAATCCTTCGCTTCTGGGTGAAGGAGACGAGGGAAAACCTACAGTAGGTTCTTTCTTAACCTCGATCCAGCATGAATCAGAGTGAGAAATCAGATATCACTGCCACGGAAATTGGACTCGGCTCCTAAGCTACAATTGAATTCCTCTCAAAGAAAATGGGATAGGAGCTTCCAAAGGGGAAGAAAAAAATAAAAACAAACAAACAAAAAAACACCACGTAGGATTCTTGTGATCTTGTTAAACTTACCACTTCGCAGCCCACTGGCTCCTACCGGCTCCTACCTATCAGCTAGATTACACCAGAGCACAATTGAGGGAGGTGAGTGTAACCTCCCCTGCCTCATCCTTGGAAAGAAGGGAGTTCTCTGCTCTGGAAATCCAGTGAAATAAAGAGCTCAGGCAGGTCGCAAGAGGTATGTCGTGTAGCTCAAGCAGCCACGCAGATCACCATTGTGAAGTAGGAGACTTGTGGGTGGATTAACCAGCCAAATGGGCCATTCACCCAAGTGTCAACCGCTTCCTGCCTGTCTCCCCTTCCTGACAATCCCTCCCCCCCCCCAGCTCCAGTGCAGGGGGAGGGGGCTCCACGCTCGGTGTATTTACAGTGTCTCCTGCCTCGTCTCCCCCTCCGCGTCTTTTATGAACATGGTGCTTACCTTCGAAAATAAACACAAATGAGATCATTTCGCCAGCCCGGAAATCCCAAGAGAAGGCACCACAGCACCAGCAGAAAAGAGACTTGAGGGTTATAAACTGCATATTAAAGTTTTAGAGCTCCAGGAGAGACACAGGAAATAGCAGATGCCATCCCCCCACAGGGGAGGGGGAGGGGAGGGAGAGCCGGTCCTGCATCAAAGCCATAAAAATATACAAGCGATTTAATGGGCAATTATTCTCTGCATTTGCGTGCGGGCCGGAATTCGCCGGCAACTGCCAGATGCCCCTGTAAAGGTGTGCCGTCCGAAGAGATGGCAGGGCTCTGCCTTTGTTCCATCCTCTCCTGCCTTCCACCCCACAGGACACCGTGTCTTCTGTCTTCAGAGTTATCTGTGCTCATTCGGGGGATGCTCTGTGGGTAATTTATAGGAGGTTACGTTGCATAGTTTGGGGGGTATATTTGTGTTTTCAATAGCAGGGTTGTGGGATCTGTAGGAGACACCCCCCCTCCCCCATCCTCATGAGAAGTCTTACTCCTCGTACTGAGTCATACATTCAGAGATGGCCTGCTAGGTAACTGTG